GTGTCTGGCAGCCTTGCTGGAGAAAGAAACCTTTAGAAGTAATCCGTTCTCATCAGAGAGCGCAAACCTTCACTCTTCAGTTGTTACCGTGTGTGTGTGTGTGTGTGTGTGTACACCTCTCCCTTATGTCCTTCAAACTGTTAGTGAAGTCAGAGCAGCAGGACTTTTATTTCTCCAGCAGATGGTGCATCCAGGTGGTGAAGCATGACTTCAGTAAAAGAGCCACGGTTGCGTCTGTCTGACATTCCGACAACGTTTAGCTTTCCAAACCATCTGGAGGGAAACTGGCACAGTGCAGAAAAACAACATGTTTATATGTGAACACTGTAAATAGTCCGATTGCTTTGCCTGCAGTGATTGTTTTCTTCTGGATGTGGGGATGATGTCATGAATGAGTCAGCAGGAGGCGGAGTTCAGTCAAAAGATGCTTTCTGTACATGGTGATGCAGCTGAGTTCATTCTTCCTCTGTGTACATTCAACTGTTATGCACTTAATTATTATTGTGCGGTCAAAGTCTTGATTGAACAGCGTTCGTATTTTAAATTAAAATAAAAACAAAAATAAAACATAAAAAGTTGAAAAAAGAAATAAAATTAAATAGAAGATAAAAAGAATAAAAGAAACACGGGGTAGATGGTTATGGACAACAGCTGGAACTAATTAAGGTCAGTGCGCGCGTCGCTCCACGTCACAGTGCGTCATCGCGCATTTCCTGAAATGTTTTCTGTAGGACGTGTCAGAGGAGAGAACTGGTTTTGAAAGTTTCTAGAGGAAGCACCAACGCGGTGATCCTCCAAAGCGATGCAAACGAGATTCATCAAAAAGACTAGAGAGGCAGCTGGTAAGACGCCGATTTGTAACGCGTGCCGATCACCTGATGGATGATGGTTTAGCGCAGCTCGGAGCTGGCTCTGTAGACTCCGGTGTTTGTGTTGGGTGTTTAGTAATCAACTTGGTGTTTGATTGTTAAATAAGTTATTTCAGATATGATAATTATTTAATGTTTTGATATAAAGTTGAATCATAAATAGTTGTAGTGATGAATTAAAGTGAGTTTGGGTTCGAATAAATTAATCATGCATTTATCTATTTTATAAATGTTAGCTTGTCTTTATGTGTTTTATTGATGCTTCTAAGGCTTTTGATCGTGTAAACCACAGAAAACTTTTTATTAAGATAAAGCTACGGGGGGTCCCTGGGTTTATTGTGAGAATCCTGTCTTACTGGTATGCTCATCAGAAGATACAGGTTAAATGGGGTGCCAGCATCTCTGCACCATTTGGCGTTAGTAATGGTGTTAGGCAGGGTGGAATTCTGTCTCCTATCTTATTTAATCTGTATGTTGACGATCTGTCTGTGCAGCTCAGAGCCTGTAACACAGGATGTTTGATGGGTACAACTTTGATCAACCATCTGATGTATGCTGATGATCTGGTGGTCTTTAGTCCAAGTAGTGCTGGTTTACAGCAGCTCCTAAATATCTGCTCTGAATATGGTGTGCAGTACGATATTCAGTATAATGCTGTTAAAAGTGCTATCTTGATATGTAGAACCAAGCAGGATAAAAAGCTAAACTTTCCTGTGTTCAAACTGTCTAATAGTGATCTTAATGTGTGTGAGAAGGTGAAATACCTTGGCCATTTTATAACTGATCAAATGCGTGATGATGCTGACATCCACAGACAGTGCTGTAAGCTGTATGCACAAGCTAACACTATAGCTCGTAAGTTTGGTTTTTGTTCACCTCCAGTTAAGGTGGCTTTATTTAAAGCATATTGTACTCCGCTCTACACAGCCCAACTGTGGTCATCCTACAATCAAAGCAGCATGAATAAGCTGCAAGTTGCCTACAACGATGCCTTAAGGATCATACTTAAAATACCCAGAGGGGGCAGTGCCAGTCAGATGTTTGTAACAGCAGGCGTTTGTACTTTTAAAGCTCTTTTAAGAAAACTCATATTCACTTTTATAGGCCGACTGGATAGCTCTGCCAACAGTATAATTTTAGCAATCACTGATCCTACTGTGAGCAGTTGTCGCTATTTCTCCAGTATAAGGAAATACTGGTTGAAGTGTTTGTGTGGTTAACCTTGTGTGGAACAGTTTATAGTAAAGCTTTTAATTACATTTAGATTTTTATTCAATTTTATGCTGTTATATTTTTATTCTATTTATCTATTTTGTTTCATTGATCTGTTGTTTTATATGTATTTTATCTGGACCTAAGAGTCTGTCAATAAAGATTATCTATCTATCTTGTATAGATATAATAACATTTTACACAATTACAGTTTCTTAGTACACACACTGTTTTTGTTTAGGTTTTTCACCTGCTGTTAGGCTTTGCCTGGCTTCATGCTTCACCACCTCCTTTTTCCATTTTAAATAATACGAAATGAGAAAGAAATAAAGGAAAATGAAAAGTGAAGTTATGAAGTCCTGAGTGGAGTCCTGCACATATTCCCCCAGCTAGATGATCCCTTTCAAGTGTACTTGTGTACTACACAAATAACTAGACAATTATTATTATGCCTTTATGTTGTAAAAAATGTCATTATGGCCCCAAGAAGTTCTGAGCCAAGGACCCAACAGTTTCTGTAGAGCAGAGACGCAGTTTTGGTTTTTCATGAAGTTTTAAAAGTTGACCTCAACTATGTTGGAACTCCTCATTAGATCTGATCCCAGCATTGGCCTCAGTGGGAAAATTCAACTAGTTTCAGCAATTTACTGAACAAAAAATGACATTTCAATGAAAATGCCACAGAAAACGTTTCTGTTAAACAGAAAATTCAGTTTTATTGTGGAACTGTAAAGATCTGCCTGTATAATAGACGTTCTAGTGAGAAAACCCACCATCCATAGATAATGCTCTACTTTAGTAAAACAAAATGCTTCTTTTAGGAACTTCTAATTAACTCTATTTACACATTTACTATTTAAAATGGTGTTGAAGCTCGTTTTATATCTTTTTAAATATATTTTTATTCGGGGTCATCTGTTAAGCCCCCAGCTGCTCCTTCACCTGAACCGGCACCAGAGTTTTAACGGAACGCCTCATTCTTCACATCCGTTCCCAGTGTCTTTAAGTTTTCACACATTAATAATCCTTTCAACTAGGGCTGGGCAATAGATCAAAAATGTGTTGTTGTTGAAATTTCTGACTCTTATCGAGAATTTTTCCCATGCCAATACATTTGATAATAGATGTGTGTAGGTTGGCAACATTCATGCCCCTTTAAGAAGCTGCACCACCTTGAGTCACGTAAAAGTGTGTCAATGTAATACGTGTGACAGCGCCATCTAGTGGACAGCTCTTGTTTTTGCGCGTGCCTGTAGTTATCGTCCTCGTATCGTTATCAAGGTGAAACCCTCAATATATCGTGATATTGATATTAGGCCATATCGCCCAGCCCTACTTTCAACAAAGGAACTTATTTCAACACAACACCGGTGGCTCCAAACAGAAGGACCAAAGTAAACGGCTCATTCAGAAAGAGGGCAACATTTCAGATCTTGTTCAAATCTGGATGTACCTTCATAGATCTGGTCTTCCGTAACAATCTTAAGTGTTTTTCACATTTTACAATAATGTCTACAGTAAAGGGGGACTGGATTATTGCTGCAGCTTGTGTGGGAAGGAAGGGGCAATCAGGCTGAGTCAGCAGCTTCACATGTAACACGAAGCATGTGAACCATGTGACCTGCAGCAAGACATAAGTGATGTCTGGGATCTTTCATTTGTTTTAATCCATTCATGTTTGAGCCAAACACCGAGTGCTGCTACTTAGCTAACATAACCACAGTTCATGCATCATATTGTTTTCCAGCTATAAATAATTCTATTGGAATATGAGGTATTTATTCATCACACAACCCTTCTGCTAAACCTCGTGTTTAGTGTTAAATTTGCCTGCAGCCTCGCCTCAGCTCTCCGAGACGCATCCTGTCCCCTCCATCACGTCACATAGACGGGAGCGGCTCTACTCCGAGCCCCTCCCGGATGGCCGAGCTTCTCACCCAGGTGCTTGAAATCCTTAAATACTTGAATTTCAATAACAAGTTTTCAAGCTGTGGAAAGTGCTTGATTTCTGTATCAGGTCCTTGAAAATGCTTGTCAAACAGCACAGTTGGGTATAAGATAAACCAAGATAGTTTGATGGAAAAGCTCGTTGTTTACAACAATACCTACAGAGTGATTAGAGTCACGTGGGGTCCGAAGCTCTATAGAGTGTTTAGGGATGTCAGAAACTATGGATATGGCAATATATCGTGATATGTTTTCCAGCGATGTTATATGAATATTCAAAAGCAGTGTATCTCATTTTTGGAAGACTTTACATGCAAACATTTGTGTATTTTCTTGTCTTTCGTGCTATTCAAACGCTGGCAGCCGTGTGCAATGGGTTTGGTTTCCACCATTGAACTGTAAAGCCCTCTGTTGTGGTTCAGATGCCTCATCTTCAACATGTTACATATCAGTTTGGACTGTTTAGTGAATTTTCCTACAGTACATTAATTCTAAAACGATCACTAATCTGGCTGAATGTACTGCATCATATCGTATCGTCTCCTGTAGCGTAATACGCATCGTATCACCAGAATTTCACCGGTACGCATCCCTAAGAGCGATTGTTTAGCCTAAACACAGTTGCTGCTGCTCTGAGAGGGTCTGCTCCATTCTGTAACACCGGTGTCTGAGCAGCAGACTCCTAATATAGAGACCAGCTGCTGGACCGGCGGCGTCCTCTGGCCTCGCCATGGAGCAGACCTCTGTGTGTGTGAGTGATCCATATGTGTGTGTGAGAACCCTGCTTTGGCTCTGGGACCCAACAGGTCTTTCTGTGATGCTTGGTTATGACACCAATGAAGGGGAAACACTGATAACGTTAACGCAACGTGTTCTGAAATCAGACTTGCAGCCGAGCTAGATCCCAGAGCTAGCCACGTTGGTGTGGAACTGAGGGTCCTGACTACTTCTCTTCTGTTTCCTCCCTCACAGCGGAGCCCCTCCCCCTCATGGATCTGTGCAGACGAGTGGCTCGACTAGCACTGGGTCGAGAACGCATCCATCACATCGAGACACTTCCACTGCCGCAGACTCTGAAAAACTACCTCCAGTACCAATGATTGCTCGTGCACAGACAGGAAAACCTGGAGGTCTGCCTGATTTCTCCATCAGACTCCCACTGACGGGGTTACAGGGCACTGCAAAGGGGTTTGTTTACACCCTCAGGGGTTCTTGGTTTGGGTGGATGATCTTGTTTTCAGCTTTTTACAGTAGATTTTTCAGAATTTTATTCTTCCAAACTTTTAATGGAGCTGGATAATATGTTTTAAAATAAGAAATCTGTAGTCTAATGGTGTGAGACCACATGATCTGACTTCCTGTAGTTACACAGATGTCTGTTCTGCACAGTGAAGCCTCAAAGCATGTTGGTATTTACATTTCTGTTCCAACAACACAGCCGTCCCTGTAAGCGACGGTACGGGGAGGCATCTGCAGGCTGGACTGGGTCTGCTCCCTCCTGCAGCTTCTCCATCACTCGGAGCTGCTGTCATTCTGCTCCCCTTCCTGTAACACTCGAGAGAGCTTAATGGAAGGGTGAAGCCGTTTTTGACCGTGTAATGTGCCTGCTCAGCTATAGCATCCTAAAACACCACCGTTCTGGCATGAGAGAGGAAACTTTCCTAAAGATGGAGATGCTGCTTTTATAAAACCCTTCTCATGGTTATTTTTTATTCTTGAATTGCTTTTCAATGTTTGGGATATCCTTTTTTTTTATGAAATTCTGAAATGTTTGGGGATGCGTCTCGCATGCAAAGGCTGAAGAATGTGCTGCCATGGAAATCTTTTTAAATGTGAATATGAATAAACTCGGTGAAACTAACTCTGTGTGTGTGTGTGTGTGTGTGTGTGTGTGTGTGTGTGTGTGTGTGTGTGTGTGTGTGTGTGTGTGTGTGTGTGTGTGTGTGTGTTGTACTTACTACACACTGAGGACCATTTTGACCATTTTCTCTTCAAACTGAGGACAATTTTGTGGTCCTCACTTTTTTTTCGAAGCTTACCAGTTGTTTTTAAAACTATGGGGTGAGGTTAGGGTATGGGTATGGGTTAGGCATAGTGGAGTCACAAAAATGAATGGAAGTCATTGGAGGGTCCTCACTACGATAGACAGATGTGTGTTTGGGGGGTGGGGTGTTGTGGGATCAGGATCAGCAGCATGGATGAGAAATGCTGTATTTTGTAACAAATGCTATCGAAAACCAGGGAGAGAAAATTACTTCTAATGGAGGAAAACATGACTCTTGTCAGTAGAGACGTTTGTCCAGATCATTAACATCACTTTTTGTTCCTGTTTTTTTCTTATAGGAAACGGCTAACTTATCTTACCACGGTTAAACGTTGTTTAAAATCATCACTGATGGTCTCCAACCAGGGGCGCCTCCAGAAAATTTTGATGGGGTGGCCAGATGGGGCCAAAGAAATTTTTGGGGTGGCACACCAAATTGGTCCTTGTGGTAACTCTGGTTGAATTTAGTCTGTGGCGATGTGCTGCATTGCGCCTTTAATCGTTTTTATTAAAATAGCCGTACGTATCCAAACATTTAACTTAAATTTTACAAAAACAAACATTTAGACAAATACATTTCAGTTATTTACAATGTTATCCCAAATTTAATTTAAAAATGTCTCTTTTAGGTTTATCCACCTGTTGCTGTGTTCCCAAAAAACTTAAAATGGTGAGCAGCAGAAACATGTATTTTTTAAAATTCTGATTATTTCGTTACTCATTAATTGAAATATTTTTATTTTGTTTTACAATTATGTCTTGAATAAATAAGATCAATATATGGTTTGACTGAACATTAATATGATTTGTTTACACTGGCTTTTCCTGGGGGTGGGGCAGCGATTTCCAAGGGGTGGCCAGGGCCCTTGGCTCCAACCCACTGGTGATGTGGAGAACCTCCCTGTGGAGTTGACATGTTCGGTCTCTGCTGTCCAGAGCCCTGCTGGGCCCATATGCTGTAAATAAGCAGTCCGTTTTGGACTACAGGTGGTAAAAAGTCCGGTCCAGGGCCTGTACAGATGATTCTCTGTTAAATGCTCACTAATTTAATCGTAACGCCAACCTTCAGACCAAACATCGTGTTGCTGCTAGCGCTCAGTTTCTGGTTATGGTCCAGGACAGAGATGGACCTGCTCCAGACACGATACCCCATCCCAGGACGGTTTTGGGCTCCAGAACAAAGGTGGTGGTGTGATCTAAACTTGGCCCCACTTTTCCTCCCCATTAACATTTGCTAGCAGAGAGCCGCTTGTTTTCAAAACATGATCAGTGCTTTAGCTTTTGGCTCCATCTGAGATGCAGATGACCTCCAGTAACACAAGACAAGTGATGTGTTTATGCTTTTGTACAAACTACAAATGTGTTCTGAAAACACGAATGATTACAGATTAAATCTGCGCAAAAGCAAAAAATAAAGTGCAAGTTCCTGCAGAGAAGAAGCCTGGTTTGTTTTCCCCTGACTGGTTCTTAAAGAAAAGACCTGATGGGCCCAAACCAAACTGGTATCAAGATAGCTTAATTTTTCATACAATTTCAACTCGGACACAATATATTATGTCTACACTTAAAAATAATTAATAGTGTGTAATTAAATGTTACACTGGCTTGCCATAATTGACAGCTAAACAGTGAAAACAAAACATGTCAGGGAACAGAGACGACTTCAACTGTGAGACGATAGGTGGAAATAAGTTTAGCTGGTTCTTGGAGAAGAATGAAAATGAAGTTGAGGATTTCCAGCTGGTCACCTTTCAGTTTTCTGTTCATCAACACTCATCTTCCTGCTTCTTCTCATGTTCATTGGTAAACAAGCTGAGCTGCGCGATTCTTTATGGCCATCAATGCATTTAGTATGACTGCCAAGAGTTGTTGTAGCACATCCACCATGACCACGTGTACTACAGAAAACCATGAAGGCAATTAGAGATTGTTTTTAAATATTCTGCAGAAAAAAATACCGAGGTCAGGACCTCGATGTCCTCAATGGTAGATACGGCCATGGTGGTGTCTAATAGCGGGTAAATGTTTGTTTTTACTCATGCAGCTCTACACAGATTTCCATGGGATCAGAAATCCAAACCTGCAACACTCCTGTTGTTGACTGGACCTGTAGTCACCTCAACATCTGATGCTGTACAAAAGGAGGAGGACTGAAACTTCAGCAGCGAGCTCTGAAGAAGACTGCAGTAGTAGTAGAATGTGTTAAAGAAGAATGGTGGTGAAGATGACCTCCATCCTACAAAACCCCTCCTACCCACTCGGTGTATAACCCCTCAGTTTAAGCTGTACTGGCATGATCCTGGTACACAATAACACCAATGCAATATTCAGTATGTGTTCAATATTCGTGCAATAGCGGATTTACATGGCATGTCTGTGTCCCTTACAGCATGCTGCATAGTTCTGGAACCCAAGTTTTTCATTTTTATTTGTAGTTTTTAGTGGTCGAAGGTTACAATAATAGCTTACTGCCTATTTGTTATTATTTCTCTTCAAATTATTCTGGTGAGTGCTGGTGCTGCTGTAACAAGTGAATGTCCCCACTGTGGGATCAATAAAGTCTCTTCTCTTCTAAATTAACAATCGCTTTCTGCTATGATTAATAATGTATCTTCCTTCAGTGCATGTAACAACTCTGGGGTGGTTTTTGATTAAAAAAAATTCATAAACAAGTAGAGTCAAGTAGTTTTCATACCTCCAGATTTTAGCTCAAGTTAAGCTCAGCTTTCAGCAGATGAGTCCAACAGGTTCCAGCTGAGAGCTGTTTTTATGTTTTGGTAACAATGACCAGCACAAATCATCACTTTGGAAAAGTCACACCGGGTAATCTAGAAATCTGATGGAGGACATGCGAGTGAAACTGGAAAAATGTAAATATTGTGTAAAAGTCCATCTATTTCAGTAATTCAACTCCGACTGAGAGACCAGGAGCGAGCCACCCCGATTATGTTGCCATGACATGTCGAGATGTGCAGCAAAACATGAAGTTACGCGTCACGCTGACGTCACTCAGAAGACTCAGAAGATTCAAAAGTAAGTAAATAAAAAAATAAAATGAATAAATAATAAATTCAATCAAAATATCCCCCACCCACCCACTATCTCTCTCCCATGCTTATTTCTCAGTGTGGTCTCAGGGAGCTGCTACAGAACTCCATCAGTCAGTCCATCACGGGGACACGGGGACAGTCTAAGATCTTCTAGTCGTGGGCTGGTGTAGAAACTCCCACACCCGTTTTTCACACAACAGGAGATGTTTTAGAGCACTGGTCCCAGGTGGATGAATAGAATAGAACATTAATGTCAGTGGGGAAATTCATTTGCTAGAGCAGCACAAACACTTACAGAAAAGAAAATGGAAAATTAATAAGATCAGAGGTAAACACACAAAGGCAGTAAGCTATTATTGTAACCTTCAACCACTAAAAACAACCAACAAAAAAAAACAAGGTTTCCAGAACTATGCAGCAGGGACACAAACATACTACATCCGGTAATAAAATCATCTCTATATTCTTTTTAACAGCAGCTGATTCATGTATCATGGTTTGAACTAGATTTTGGCTGTATGACTTTTTGTTTTATCAATTTTATTTTTGCTTTTATGTCCTTAATTTCATCTATGGTGCCTTAAGATTTATTGTGAAGCACTGTCAGTTTTTTAAATCCTGTACAAATACATTTTAACACACCTGTCTCACTCCATGCTGCACGTGCTTGCGTCTGACTGGGCGCCATTAATGAGCAGTGAAAATGCAGACAGCGCCTCGCTGACCAGTGCGAGCCAGGGAGAGGAAATGTCAGAGATGGTTTTTACAACAGCGTGATGAAGATGTTAGGTGCATGGGTGTAATTTTAATTAGATCAAAACTGGTTTTATTACAGATGTTTCGTTTTCTTTCAGAACCATTAGAATAATGTCAATATTTTAGGTGCAGTAGCAGCAAACAGGCACAGGAGGGCGACATTGGTCCAACAGACGGTTTACATTAACCTGTAACACCGTGGTTAAGACAACTGACTTCATCTGCCTGATTTCATGTTCCTGATATTTTCTAATTAAAGTTGATCTGTTTGGTCAGTCTTGTTGTCTCTACTTCCTGGATTCAGCGCCAGAAACGATTTTCCACTCCTTTTACGTAACGTAGAAGCAAGCCCTTGTTGCCATGGTGACCTGCCGCGTGCTACGCTAAATACCGCTCGCCCTCTACTGTTGTTGCTGCGTGTGCACAAAGTTCACGTGTTTACTTTCACGTGCTTCATTGAGCTCGTATTTACAGGTAGGACTGACATTTCTAGTCTTTAGTGTTTAAAAGTGTTTCATTAGAACCTGCAGAAGCAGCTAAACGTTCTTTCTGTCCCAACTGGACCGGACCGGACCCTCTGGAGACAGAAACCCGACACAAGACGGCCACAGCGTTGACGCATGTCTGACAGCACTTGTAGCACCAGTAGAAGACGTATCGTAGTCCCAGCAGACGTAAAGTAGCACGCGCACCAGTACAATTGTAATCGTCTGCACGCACGGAAGCGCAGGTGGCGTGATGACGTCACAAAGCCTTTATGACCAACACGTCTGCAGCATGGACATATACATATAGGTCTGCAGTCAGTGGTCAGTCAGTGTCAGACTTGCTTTGAAGAAGGTGGTTGGACGGATTGTTGCTCTCAGAAAACTTGTTGGTTTTGTGTAAACAACATCTTTTAACAGCTTCCTTCAGAGAAATCTGGTGCATTTGGTGAATATTTATAGCTAAATTATTCACTGACTGCTCGACAATCATGGAGTGCAAAAAGGTCTTTGTTCTCTCAAACAG